TGGTTCCCATCAGGTCTCTCACAGGCAGAGACATGGGCGGGGTCATTATAACAGGAGTAGAGACACCTGGCCACCTCAGCCCAGTCATCGGGACAAGAAGCAGATCTTGTATATTGGAGGCAATTTGGCAAAGCCACTCTCCTTGGGACTGAGGTCAATGTCCTTAGGATCCACAGGACTGGACAAGGAGAAGTTCTGGAGGAGGGTGGTGAAGAAAAGGAACAATTCGTGGCGGGCGATGCCTTCTCCAAGACAAATACGCTTTCCTGTGGGCACAGAGGATGAACCATGTGAGCCCCAGGGCAGTGTACAACCTTCAGACTGTCCCATCCCTAAACCCAGACAACTCTGCCCACTGCAATGAATAAGAAGGTTTGACTCTCAACCTGCAATTCCAGTGACAGCATTAAGACATTCCTAAAATTTAAAAAACTGGTTCAAGAGCCAGCACCAGTGTCTTAGCATAGGAAGGAGCCTGCCACCAGTCCAGAGGACATGAGTTCAATCCCCTGAACCCCCATGCTGCACAGAGAGAACTAACCCCCACAGTCTGTCCTCTGAAATAAACACACACCATATCACACAGGTATATGCATACGACCATGTAGGAACACAGAATATTAATGGGAACATGTGTGCCACTTTTCTGGTGGATGTCTGGCTGTCACTTCTGACAGATTTCTGGCTTTTGTTGGATTATCAGAATCCTTTGTTCCAGATCTGTAAGACCCCACTTAGAGTAGGAACCAAGTGTGCAGGTGTCCACGTGTATAGAGCAACATCTTTAGTGTCCCTCCTTTCTCACGTGAGGGGATTGGTACCCATCTCATTGGGCTGCCCTGAGGGTGAAGGTACTGCTTAGAAAACTCCTAGATTAACAACTGGATGGTGTTAAGGGTCCTTATGAGCCAGACATGGAGGCACATCTGTAAGTGCCACTCTTGGGAGACTGAGCATTCAGAACAGCCTGGACCACACAGAAGGAGCACTGTGTGAGCATCCTTCTGCCTTTCCTCTCCCTCCCTCTGCTCCCCACCCACACTGTCCCCTCAACCCCTCCTTGTTCAGCTTGAGACCAACAAGTTCACAAACTCAATAGTTCCTACACTTGAGATGGACAGGGGCATCTGATAAGGGATCTGTGGCACCCTCTGGATTCTCGGGGGTATAAGGAGCCCCTGTTGGGTTGTCACCTCAGAGCAATGGGAGCCTAAAAGCCCAGGCAGAGGCTCCACCACCTGCCCTGTACCTCAGGGATTCTTAATCTGCAACTGGAAGCCTCAGACCTCTAGGGGAAGGAGGGATTTTCCAGCAACGCCTGTGTCCTCCAGTTGTTGAGAAATTGTACTGTATATGTTGTATAGGGAAAGAACACTATCCCCTGGCAATCCATTTACAGAACGTATCTTATATGACCTTAGAATTTCATGGTGTATCTCTGAGATGGTTCTCCTGAAACTTGTTTTGTGGTGCAGATTTTTCCAGAGTAGCTCTTAGTGACTCATGTCACTCTCAACACAATGTCTCTAAGCCTGGAGCTGGAGACTTAGACATCATTCCTATATCTTTGGCTCTAATATTCTTTTGCGTGCTTGTTTGCTCACTCTCCTGCTTGCTTGCCACCACAGCACTCTACCTGAGCCTATGTCTGAATCTATCATGGATACGTGTCTTTATCTCTTTTCTATGTACCTTTTTAATACTTGAAACATCCTAGCTAACATCTACACCCACCACCCATCGCCACCCCTCCAAACCCACTTCTCCTCTCCCCACACCATGCCCAGCTGACAATATCTAGTGACACGTTCCTTCATGTCTTCCTCTTATGTCCCTGTTCCCCACACCACTGCCTTTCCAAACTTGGGTCTGTTATACGGACAATTCACTTTTATGTCACAACCTACCTGTCTACAACTCAGAAGATGAATTATGAAAGGAACCCATTATGCTGAACAGAGCTGGAAGCAACACTTAGCTGAGACACTGATCAGCAAAAGAGCACTTGCTTAAAATCCCTCATTGAGGGGATGAGGACAGAGATCAGAGAGGCTCAGAAGAAGAGTACAGCAGGGTAAAAGGGCCAGTCAAAGAAACCAACCAATCCCTGAGCATGAAATCTAGCACCCTGACCCAGAACACAGAGCCAATGAAAGAAACACCCCCTGCCCCGGGACCCCAGCCAGTGAAAGATCACTTTAGTCCTGCACCTAGAACCTAAGAAACACAGCCTGACTCTGAAACCAGAGCCAAAGAAAAACACCTTGGCCCTGGAAACAGAGCCAGTGAAAGATAAATGCCCTGGCCCCAAACTAGATCCAAAAAGGAAGAAGAAGAAGAAGAAGAAGAAGAAGAAGAAGAAGAAGAAGAAGAAGAAGAAGAAGAAGAAGAAGAAGAAGAAGAAGAAGAAGAAAAAGAAATAAGAAAAGGCCAGTGAAAGAAATACAGTTTGTTCCTGAAACCAGAACCAGCTAGGCCTCTGCCCAACTGAATCACAAAACCAGTTAATCACTGAGCATGAAAACTAACCAATTCTGAGAAGAAAATCTTCTCCATGGGAAAACTCCATTCCTAAAAAGCCCTGTATAAGCCCCATGCCTGTTGAGTTGCTGACTGTCCTTTCCCACCCTGGCAGAGGCAACCACTCTCCTGGACTCCTCCTTTCTCAAAAGGGTCTTGGGTGAAGATCTTCATACACCAGTCCAGAATAGAAGAACCTTGCTGTGTTCCCATGTTCGATTGCCGTTGCCACTACAAGCCCTTATCAGATCTACAACTACACCTGGATGATCGTCAACCAAGCCGGTGATGCTGCCAACGCCTCCAAAACTATTGCAACCACCCCCTCCTATTCACCCCCCCCATAGTTGACTTATGTGCTTTAGCCTTAGGGGCCTCTCCAGACTGGGGGACCCCTGTCCATTTTTCCCCCAGGACCTCCCTTCTCAGCTGACCTTATTCTCTCTTTAATTAACCCTACTGTTCAGGCCCTTCATCAAGCCAAGTACTCCCTCATAGAGGACTGTTGGGTCTGCTATTCTTCCACCCCTCCCTTTTCTGAGGGAATTGCAGCCACTTAATTCCTACCATGCCTGTTCTACTGGATTGACTACTTATATTGTCACCTCTACCTTCTTGTCTAAAAGAGACTATTGTGTTTCAATTCAGCTGCTACCCCGACAATCCTCCCAAAGGACTGGATTTTTTGGGCCTTGAACATCGAACCTCTCGATTTCCTTGGCCTTGGAGACGTCAATGACGGGATTATCGTGATGCCACAGGCCAGATGCCGACCCGTCTCACCGGCTGTAGCTGCCACCCAGATGCGCACTCTATTGCTCTCCAAGCTGCTAGCCTTATGAAAGGTCCCCTGAGTGCTGGGGGCGGATGCACCTCACGGAGCCTAAGACAGAGGCTCTACCCCTCACTGTCATATAAATGACAATATCATAGACATAGGGTCCTGGCTTCGGATGCTCATCACGTAGCCTAAGGCAGATGCTCCATTCTATTATACTTAGAAGGGGGAGATGTCAGGAGCCAGCTCTGGTCAGATATAAAAGTCCCCTTTACAGAGGCTTGGCGACCTCTAAACCGCAAATTAGTCAAGCACCCCACCCCTTAGGTTAGTGTTCGAGATAACCACAGGACATTCCAGACACCTGCCCTGGCCTGAGAGCAATTAACACCCATTCCTCCCCCACTTCCTCTTTCTCTGCTTCCTCCTTTCTCTTTAAAAACCCCTTGTTATAATCAATAAAGAGACCTTGACAAGGAAAAATTACTTGGTCTTGCTTCTCTTCCTCGCCCATTATTTTCAGGCTTAGTCCATCATGGACCCACAAATTACTGGAGGCCTGCAGGCCGGGGCACCTTGGCTTTCCGATAAGTCAGGACACCTTTGCAGCTCAGTACTGTAACATTCACTCTCTTGCAAGAATCTTCTAGAATGTACCAGGGAAAGTCTGGAAGAGTGGGCTCTTTGGAAGAGAACTTACTTAACACACATTCATCCCTGGGTTTCACGAATAGGGGGTAGGGGGTCAACAAGGCTTTAGGCATTATTTGTAGAACTCCACTTTCTCCAAAAGGCAAGAAAGCTGAACACAAAGTTTCCATGTTTACATCCAATAGAGTCCATTAAAATGAAGTAAATTTGGCCAAAGGGAACTTCTGTATGTAACTAAATAACCAAACACAGCAGGCAATCAAGCTACACACTAACTTGAGATTATGCTATTTAAGTGAAGAACAAATCTCAGTCACTCAGAGCAGTTGACCTACCCCAGGCTGGCAACTATTCCAGCATGGCCAAGAAAGGTAAACGCAGAGCTGGCACCAATCAGGCTGTGTGTCCATGCTCAGCTCTTTCTTGTCTACAGACACCATGTGCTGACACTGATGGGTGCTGATTAATTTTGATGTCTCTTAAAATTCAACAAAAGTGCAAACAGGGGAAAGTGTGTGAAGACATGCCCCATGTCACCAGTGCTCACAGCTAAAGTCAATATCTCCGGAGCCATGATGACGCTACCCAGTTCATAGCACTGTTGATAGACTGTGTCAGCTGTTCTTGTTGCTGTTTCCTAAGAAAATGGTTTGCTCAGGTTTAGAGGACTGTAAATACCTCCCCAAAGTCCTCCTGACCAGGATTCTCCTTTAGGTGAAGAGTCCCCTTGTGTACCTGTAGCCAGGGTGAATGGGATGGATCAGGCAGAGCAGCTGGGATAGACTCAGGAAACGTGGACCTAGTCCTGTCTGTGTCCTGGAGGAAGAGCCTGCCCTCTAGTGTCAGGGAGAGGAAGCACAGCTGAGTCTCACCTACAGAGAAGGGCATAAAAGCTTCATTTTTCTTCAGTGCCCCATTGGCATCCAGGAAGCGGTCAGGATTGAAGGTGTCTGGTTGTTCAAAGTACTGTGGGTCATGGAGAGCTGAGCTCAGGATGGGGTAGACTTCAGTGTTCTAGGAGACATTACGAGATACAAAGATGTCAACATTCCTGACTCACATATGCAGACAGTCAATCCATCAATCAGACACCAGGAATGCTGGGAAATCAACAGCAGGCTGGTACTAGGATCCAGGAGAAAGCAGGAGGCTCATGGAGCAGAGATGTGGAATGGCAGCCGGTCTCACCTTGGGGAGCAGGTACCCTCGGAACAAAGTGTCTTTGGTGACTTTGTGTGGCACACCAATAGGGACAAGATCTGAAAATCTCTGGATCTCATGGATGACGGCATCAGTGTATGGCATTTTGGTGCGGTCATCAAGGGTTGGTAGTCGGTGGGAGCCGATCACCTCATCGATCTCCTTTTGGACTTTCTCTGCACGGAAGAGGGGAACAGTGGATCTACTCTGCCAGCTTTGTAGCAGTGATGCTTTATTCTAGGAGCCAACAACCCAGGAAAGAGTTCAGCAAGGAGACGCTCCTGAAAAAAGCAGTGTACTTGAGGGTCCAAAACTGTCCTAACCTTAAGTGACTGTCCATCTGTGCCTATGTGTAAAACTAAATTAAGTATCTCGTCTGTAGCTTCAACCTCATTTCAGGAGGGTTTTTAAAAAGTAAGTAAGGCTGGGCATTGGTGGCCCTTCAACCTCATTTCAGGAGGGTTTTTTAAATAGTAAGTAAAACACACTGCAAAGGGCTACTGCGTAGGGACACTTCATACAATTATTTTGGTTTGGGAGTGTGAGGGAGACAAGCAGTAAAAATTTCCACCTTTGGCAAGGGAATGAATTCTCTCCATATACACACACGCATGCACAAGCACACACACAATCATGCATGCATATACACACATAAACACAGGCACACACACATGGGCACACACACGCCTGAATACATATACACATACACACATGGGTATAAACACACATAGACATGCACACACATGCATGCATCCACACAAATATACACACACACTTATGTACACACTCATGCAAACACACATGTACACAAACATAGATATAAACACAGATGCACACACACACACACACACACACACACACACACACACGCTTTTGCACATGCACCATAACTTTACATGGATTTTTATATGAAGAACTCAACGCTGTATCCTTAGGAATATAACAGTTAAGGAGGTAGGTTAGCAAATGAATCTATCAATGGGTGGATGTAAAAATGAATATATTAGAAAATTAATGGATAAATCAATTAATAAATGGACAGATTTAGGAGTTAATGAAATGAACAGACTAAACACTGGATTATGTATTCAACTTGTAAAGCAAAACATGATTCAATTAGTGGATAAATGGAAAAATGGATAAACAAACTAAAGATGAATTCAAAGGCCAGTTAGTGAAAGAATTAAGAAGTGACACTGTTGATAGATGACACATGCTTTATGAATAAATCAATGATGGGTAATTTTTCAAGTATAATGATTAAAGGGAAAAGTAAGCTGAGTTACTGAGATAACTGAATGAAATGAGTGGTTGGGTGATTGAAGAATCAATTGGACAATGG